AAACATACAGAGTCATTATGCATTTTCGCCGCTTCATAATTGCAAAAAGCACCTCAAGATAAACCTCAAAGAATTGTGCAATTTGAGTCCAGTCGACATGGTAAAATAGAGGTTGTGCGCAAATGGCCAACTCATGCTTCCTCTCGCCGTTTTCGAACACTCTGACATCTTGCAGTTTGATCGGCTGCCTGAGATGTGGTTGGCTGATCCTTGAGATATATGCATCCGGCAATCCGTTTTCAATTATTTGTTGCTTTAATCCGAATCCAGTCGTTTCCGCGTAGAAGCCAACAAAGTCGCACATGAAAAAGAAACAAATGCATGTTTCTGGACAAAAAACTCGCTTATTTTCACAGATTTTTTGATCAGTAAACGGCATACAAGCAGCACATAAACGCTCTAGTGAGTGTGAGAAGCACAAGAGCCAGTAGTGTGATGACGCAGCCAATTGCTTTTTGACGTAAGTATGAGTGGTTGGATTTCCTTCCAGCCCTTATCCATTTGTAAAAATTCTGTAACGTCTAAAGCTGTTCCCATGAGCAACGTGTACCGGCTTTTCCCAAGATTTCTGCGACAATTATTGTAGTGGAAAAAAAAAAGAAATAATGAGCTGGTGCGCGTGCCATGACGGAAAATGGTCCTGATTTCGAGTAAGCCAAGGGTCCAACTCCGTCATGCGACAACAAACCGTTCTGCGATTCTTTCATTTGTTTCGATGGTAAAGTGGCACTGGACAGCACGCTAATTTTCTCCTCACAACAATTTTTAGCCCATTCAAAAATACATAAGCAGAGAACAAACTTTGGTGAAAAAGGCCATACGCAGTGATGGATCGGTTCATGCACCATTGCAACACTCAGCGATGCTGCATTGTTCCATTCAAGAAAAAGCCGCAGCCTTTCGGTTGTGTTACATTTGCGAACAACAACTGCTCGAATTATAGTGTCGTTCAGCAAATAAGCGCTATAGACAAAAATCTGAATTTTTTTTTGATTATTTCCAGTACACTTTTTCCGTTTTTTTTAACCGAAGAGATGAGGAATGGCAGTGGAAAGTAACGCGTAAAAGGCTGAAGTTTCGAAACCGCCATTGGGGCAGCAAGCCCTCTACGATCCAATCATTCCTTCTGATGCTAAACCGGCATTGGTGCAGCTGTAAATTTTCTTTTAAGGATCCTCGACAGTTTTGCAGTCGGTGGGTTTCTCTTCTCAAGTTATACTACTCGAGTTGCTGTAGCTGCATAAGTTTCAGGTAAAAAGTGTATTTTTTCTCGCTTTTCCCCCTCCTATTGTCTAACTTTTTGCGCCATTATAACACGTTTGTCTTTTTCTCTTCATTTTTTAATTTTTCTTCCTTCTGTTCCTTTGTAACGTTCGGGACGAAGAGGAGCTGAAGCTGGGGTGCTTTTCCCGTTGTCTTTATATTGTTTATCTAATTCGTTTTGCAACCCTTCCTTTTATCTTTTTTCTCCCTCACTTGCCTCCGTCTGCATTTCCGGTCATTTTGCTTTACTCCTGCCAGCCTAAAATTGCATCTCGACCGTCATGCTGACGAGGTCCAGTCGCGCTGCAGAAGTAAGACGCACCTGACTTGGTGGTCAAAACGTCTTATTTCAATTCTTTTAATTTTTATTATTCTTTTCACTAAATTCTCTTTCTTTTCATCTCCTTCTTCTTTTCTTTTCTTGAACTAACGCAATGCTAGTAACCACGTAAATAAGTAAATGATTGACCTTGTTTTCGTGTCTTTTTCCTTCCGTTGTTGAGTTTATTGTGTGATACTTCGTAGCGGTATCGTCTCGGATGTAAAAGGTGGAAATAAAACATATTAGGGAGCTGAGAAGAAACAGCGCCGATAGAATAAGCTTAAACTTAAGTAAGCGCATTGATATGGTAGCCTGAAAAACAACTTGAAGCACATATTTTCACATTTAATAAGACAAACGCAGCTCATTTTTTTTGTAACTGGCACCACAGTTCAAATTTTGAGGAAGTTGCACTTTTGCGCGTTTTTGCACAATTTTACAGATGCAAAAACGTATGTTGGCGAGAGATTGTTGTGTGTTCGCACTTCTGGCATCTGCGTTTAACTTTGAAATCGGAGAAGCTAGGAGCGCTGCATTCCGGACTGCGTATTTTACACAAATGCAACCGCATACTATCTGGAGGTTATCCGTGTAGATGTTTGGGGCCATTGTAAAAGCTGAGAAGTTGAAATTTTGGGAGCAAGTTCCTTCCTCACTCGCGATCCTCTCTTCTAAAATCTGTCAACACGTGCGTGTGCGGACAACTGAAATGATAGTGAAGATTTCAACGGAAAACGAGTTGACAAGAATCAGTTACCACTGAAACCTGAAATCTCTGTCCATGTACGACATAAAACTCTCAAATTCAGCTGTCATGTACGCTTAGTCACGCACACTGATATGCCAAAGTTCTGTCGTTGGCTCACACCAACCCTGGAATTTCTGGAAATTTAATTTAATTTAATTATGTAATTTTGCAAGGATGTTATCACTCGTGTGGGGATTCGTGTGCCCAAAATGAGTTTTAAATTGCATCTACGTCAGATTTAATGGAAAACTTAACACATTCGTAACAAACGATTTGGAGAACTGGATAAGCCTCTTTCATTATAGTTACAAACCTTTGCTTTACACCCAGTGCGTGACTGATGCATGCGTGCCACCGGATCTAAAATGCGACCCAAATAATCATTTACTTCATCGCTCCTCGCAAATAAAGCTAGTCGCAAGAATTCGATAAGATGGCGTCAACGTTCTGAATAACGGGGCTTTTTTTTCATCCTTTCTCCATTCTGACATTTTATAGTCTCATCTGAGTCTTATCTCTCTGCAACTCTGCCCAGTAGTCACGCCTATGGATAATATATCAGTCGATATAATAAATGATCTGGTAAAATTATCAGGAAATATCTACTTTTTGCATCAGAAAAGTGACTCGCATCCTCAATAATTTTTAAACAATTTCCACAACAGGACGGCAAAGTCAGAGCAAAAAACATTGTACACATAATCATCAACTCATTTCTTATCATTGCTCTTAATCGTTTTACCTATTTCTTCTCATCCGATTAACAATTTCGAGTCTGGTAAAATTGCAAATTCCGATGACTGCACATGCAGTTTGCTGCAACAAAATGGAAGGGTAATTTTTTGCTTGTGTAGGAGTGCGTATTTGTTTAGGCGTGCGTATCTGTAGGCCTTTGTAAGTACGCGTGTATGTTAACATACACGTGTATCAACAAACGCCTACAGACACGCACAACTAGACATCCACATATACAAGCATGCAAAAACATACACACATACACGCGCACACACAAATATACGCGCATACGCACATGCAAGTACTATTTCAGGTAAGTTTCATTCAGAATACTGTATCTTTTTCAATTCCTCTTCGAACCCGCCTGTCCAACGCACTTTTTCGTCATTACTCGAGGCACACTGTAGCAAGTATTTTTCTTTCTGTTAAAAAAGCATTTCTTAGTAATAATCCACATGGGATGTGCTGGTCTTTTGCTCGTAACTCTCAACAAATGACGACCCTCACAGTGAGGAATGAAACCGGTTACTTCAATATAATACAGCGAATAACGCAACTTTAACACCACTTCAGCAGTAGAGATACAAATAGCAGAATCCTAAATTATCCACGTTTCTAGTAATTAGCAGCTAATTCTCGTCACAACTCCTCTTACCTTTCTTCGCTTTTTCACCGAGATTTCCGTTAACAACCGCCGGCGCTACCAGCTAAAATGCTTGGTCGGATCCTCATGCTTCTGAACCACACTTCATCGGCACTCCTCGTTTCCCTTTCAGCCCAATGGCCTCTTGCCTTTCCCCAGAGCCTTAACTACTTCCCCCTTCTTGCGAATTCCCATATGCATTTCTTACATACAAACAAAAGAATAATACAAAGCATTCTCGAATAAAGATTGTCGATTACACTTCGTGTTTGGCACGATAGGATGTTTGATGAGGTGTGGTACTCTGTGATACTGTAGCATTACTGCTGGAGCCATCTGAGTGTTATCCCCAATATGAACTAATGCTACCACACCGACCATTTCGAATGTTTCAGGAATGCTTGCATCACGTAAAAGAATGCGACGCTATAAAATGAGCTGAAATTTAGAGCACAGTCATTGTAAATTGATATTGTTTGGGAACAAGTTTGCGACACATGCTTGCTTCGAACAGTCAAGAAGTCCACGTGGTACGTGCTCGATCCGTGGAAATTTTTTGGACTTACATCCTCCCGTTATACATCCCTCCGTTATAAAACATGTGATAACGAGCGATTAGACACCATGCAGAAGAGGTAGCTGCTAAATCCTGATTTCGGGCTCAAGAATTCTGCGTACATCACACCTTTCTGACCTTCTATTCCAACTGTTTCCAAAAAATTTCCATTTTCTTGGATCTCGACAGTTACACGTTTTTGGCTTGAATGCAGAACTGTTGAGGTATCCAGAGCCAAGCGCGCTGTGATGTGCCCTCAGTTGCAGCCTCCGATCGCTTTCAGAATTGTTATTTACCTATCACAAGGCAAACCTTTGAATAAGCCAGCCAGCAATAAATGCAGAAATGGCAGTTTAACAAATGTGACATAAATTAATTATTTACTGGAATATTAAATTGATTTTTAAAAAAAACAGTTAATTTAGTTTTCTCAGAAATAATTTGTTTAAGGTCATTTCCATGAAGTAAATAATTGACTTTAGAAATGCTGCGCGAAATTTTTCATAGAAATACCACGAATACCAATACTGCTTGAGCAATTACTTCGGATATCTGGCGTTAATGGTTACTGGGGAATTATCACCTACTGGGAGAAATAATGCCAGGCGTTCGGGTTGGACTGTACACAGAAGTTTTTCCTTAGAAAAAAGACAAGTCCTATTTGAGTTTCCTTAAAATGCATAATTCAGCTCTACATTTGGCTCTAACTTCAGGATACCTTTATTAGAATCGCTCACACTTCTTCTGGTACTTCACAAACTTTCCCGGAAGCTAAATCTTCATTACTGCGTTTCAGCTTGTAACTGTGGTATGGGTTCGAGCAGTTTCCAGTGTGATGTGCTTCTCCAATCAGCTTGATAAAAACATAACGGATGAGGACTGCGGCCGCAAATCCTACTGCTTTATCATAAGGGAAAGCAAGCTGCTGGAATCGAATAAATACCTGAAACGCGGATGTGACCATACCTTCTTTTGTGATGTATGCAATTTTACCTGAATTCCTCCTTCTGGGAGTGCTCGCATCACCGACATTTCTCGGATTTCATTGAAAAGCACTTGAGAATTCGCGAAGTTCTAGGGATTTGTTCAGTGCTGCCAACCGGGCACCTCTTTGCGAAGGATATAGACTGGTAGAGAGTTCAACCCCTCATTTTCACTAATATCTAGGTCATTCGAATCATTTCATATTATCCACTGCACTAATGATATTTGCGTATGCACTGAATACAATCCTTTATTGTCTAACGATGCTACGATGTGCTGCGCACCCTGTCCATCAATTTTTTTGTTTTGACTTTTTGTGTAAATAGCTAGAGGCACTGAAAAAACGGCTACTTGGCCAACATGGTTGTCAATGGCCGCTGATAGGGGGGATGTGATGACCTGACATTAGTGACTTCAATTGAGATGCACCCCTGCATCAGGTAGGTAGAAAACGTCCTCCAGAAAACATCCTCCGGCCTTGCATAGGCAGAAAACATCCTCCTGAAATCTTATCCTCCTAACTTTTCTGATCCTTAGGATAATTTTCCAACTAAAACCTTTGTGTGCCCGCGCGTCAGCCTTCCTGAATTTCAGCTTCCTACCTTTCATAGTTCCCGAGGCAATGATTTTCCCGCCAAAACTTTCACGAGATCGTGCGTGATCACCCAGGCACACTTGAAGGCTGGCTTTAAATTTGCGAGGTTGCGCTTCTCGAACTTCTGCTATTGCGGTTCTCGAATTGCAAGGGACAAAGCAAATTCGGACACAAAAGCACACACATACGAAAACGCAATAAAAAAATTGTCGAAGTGTCAAAAATTGCTCTAGATATTTTGTTCAGAAATCTTTTGAGTGGTCCTGGACCTTGCTGCACTGCAATCTCTGTTTCTTTTCTAGCGCTTGTCCCAAACGTATTAACAAAAAATGCATTACAGCACTTGAAAAGCCAAGAGGCTTTCAAACTCAACAACGAATTTGACTTAAGCGGCAAGGCCAACCGTAACACCAAAAGTAAACCGGACTACTATTACACTGATGAATACAGCGAGCTATTTGAAGCTTTTGCAAACAGAGCCGAACAAGAAGACTTGGATGTGTTTGGATGCGCGGAAGATGTGATTTATGGAAAATACCAAGGGTTCTTTTGTTGCTGCAATTTCGATTGGTGCAATATGGCTGCAAAAAGTATGAATCCGCTCTTTCAATGTGCAAAAAATTCCTTGAAACTTAGTGAGGAAGTCAAAATTTGCTGCTGGGGAGGAGTGCACCTAGATAACTCGTCGCCAGTGAGCTCTTTGACAGTTTTGCAAAAGCTAAAGAAGATGCTTTTTGGACATTTGTGATACAATACTCCAATGCACTTCACTTTACCGCAATGCCAGTACTAAAATACTTCCCCATTGTGTATGATCGGCAACTGGCTTGCTGAAACCTGCAGGAATGTTTCATCCTTAGCATAAGTAAAAAGAAAAAACGGTGCAAAAAATTTGCGTGTAGCCCTCAACCACTTTATGTTTTCCATAAATTTAGCAGAGGAGCCAAGTTTACAAGCCAAGCTCGATGCGATTGGCAATAATGGTACCGTGGCAGAGTTCAACGAGCTGATGAAAATAAAAGAAACCGTAAATCAGCGGTCCAAAATCAAAAACATATTCTAGCCAAATGGTGATGTCATCGAATCGATCATTGTTTTTAATCACTTTTATAGGTATTTTCCAAAAATGCATTGTATCAGGGCAATTATAAGCCATTTACATAAGCAAGGCCAAGTTGTTTTTATAACTTAAGTGGTGTGAGTGAAAAGTTGGTGGACAGAGATTCCTTTAGTGCAAAAATTATCGGTGCAGAAAAGATTTCCCAGAAAAATACGATTGCATTTAAGCGCTTATTAACGCATCGCGTTGGCACTTCATTTAATTGTATACTTGCAGGATTTTTGTATGTTCAAAAGTAAGTATTGTGTACTTTTTTTTTGTTCTGCCAAACGTTTGACAAACGTTACTTTAAGATTTAAAGTTGAATGTGCATTTGAATCAGCATAAAGCTTCAATTCTGAGCATCATGTGTCTGCCGAAGTATTACGGTTATTATGTGGTTTTTCTGTCTTCCTTCCCTGCTTTTCACGCAGCGTGGTTAAACGGGGCAGACGACGCTGACTTTCGAGAAACGAACGGTTAGGCCCAATTTGGCCAGCAAGTAAATATGCTCCATAGGCTCCGCAAGCAAGTACCAGATGTTATCTGGTAGCGAATGCCTGCTTATTACTCGAGCACTTAATAGAAAATTTTTTATGAAGTTGCGTGTGTCGAGAAATCTACGGGATTCGAAATGTGGGGGAAGCGATGAGAATCTAATGGACGCTTAGTTTAGTGAGAGAGTACTGTCTGCATCACTGGTCAGCACTGTTAGTCGGGATCCACTCAGTGTTACGTTCTC